GCCCCAGTGATCTCCCGTGATCTTGCATTACTTTAGGCCTTCATTCTCTGTGAACGCATTGAAAGCCTGTAACAGCTAAGAAAGTGAAGGATTTCAATCTTTGCGGGGTGAGTATTAAAGGACTGGTGCCTAGGGAGACCCGGGGTAGAGGTGGGGAGAGAGGGAATAACCAGTGTGAATGTTGCAGAGCCTCTGCAGTTGCTCATAAGGGCAAACGACTGCCGTGCTGCTGCAATATTCGTAATTTTGGGACTTGCTTATAAGCACTAATAGAAGGACCCCTGTTTCTTGCTCTGCAGCTATGTGATTTTGGCAAGACAAAATGAATAGTAAAGGGAAATTAGTTTGGATAGAAAAAAAGGACTTGTTACAAAATTGTTTCAGTTCTCAGAGGTCTCTGCTGAAATTAACACACTCCAATAAATCTTACGTTATCTCCTAATAGCTCCTTGACTGTTTTCCCTGATTATTCCTTAACTGAAAACTGACTTTGAGTGAGATTTGCATTTCGGGGTGTTTCCCTGAAAATAAGCATTAGCTTGATTTTTATCCATGCACTGAATATAAACTGTATGCCAAAAATAACCCCTAGTTAAGCCTCTATCCTACTGTCTGGTTATTTGCGGCTGCAATGGGGCAGGAGTGTGCATAGCACCACCATGAGATTAGGTGAGGCAGATGGCGGGGGAGGTGCCCCATGCATCCCATACCCGCGTACCTCAGGGCCCCCGCAACCAGGCCATTCCCCACTGGTGAGCTCTCCCCGCCTATTCAATGACCTGGCTGCGTACCTGCTTCTTTCCTTTCACTTCTTCCTGAGGTGGAGTGCCATATTACAGAGTATGGGTGGGAGAGAGGCTTAGTCCCCTCACCCGGTCCCCCTCCACTGTTTAGGAGCCAGGAGGGAGTTATGGCAAAAGGCTTCTGTTGCTGCTGAGCATCAGCTACGTCCGCTGCTGGAAGGGCTTTTTTGGATCCCTGCCGCCCTGCCCCTCAGATCATGTGTCTGCTGAAGGCTGTCTCCTCCACCTGCCGCCTCAGGCTTCCTGTCCCTGTTTGTCGTTTCATTTGTGGCAGCTCTGAAGGCCTGCATCTCTGCATCATCCCTGGGGTGGCAGTTTCGACCACCTGGCCCCCTTCGCAGCTCTATCCACACAGCCACCCAAGCAGCAGGCAGAGCCCTGGAGAGTCAGGGAGGGTGCTGAAGCTACCAGGCATCCTGCCTGCAGCACCTGTGCCTGGCTGCCCCTTCTGCATCAAAGCTGGAATGCCACCCCATTTCAGTAGATGCCAGCTTTGCCCTCCAGTGGGCCTGGGCAGTTAGTGGAGAAAGACGTTTCAGCACCTGGAGCAGTTGGGGGTTTACTTGCCACTTGTTTTACAGCTCCGTTGTATTTGTCTGCCACCATGGAGCTGGAGAGCTTGGTGTGCCAATGCCCAACTCCCTTTGCTTCCCCAAAGCATTTGCTAGCCTGCTTTTCAGCTTTGTTGTGTTTCTCTATTGCCGCAGAGCTGGACAGCTTGGCGCACCACTGCCCACCTCCAATCTCTTCCCCAAAGCATTCCTTCACTAACCTGCTTTCCAGCTTGGTTGCATTTCTCCATCGCCGCATGTAGAGAAACAAAAGTTTATGGGGCTAAAAAAAAGTTCAACCAGACCTTCCAACTTTGCGAGATCTTTTTATGTGTGTGTGTCTGAGAAGTTGGAAGGTCTGATTGACCTTTTTTTTTGGTCCCACAAACTTCTTTTGTTTCCCTGCACATGTGGAGAAATGCAACCAAGCTGGAAAATGGGTTATTGAAGGAATGGTTTGGGGAATGTCCCAATATGTCCCGGGCTCGAGATACATGAGGGGGGAAGGTGGCAGACCAGCACAGTGGAGGAAGAGCCAGCACAGGGTCCAAGGCAGCTCACTGTCATAACTCTGGCAGGGCGTTCGGGCCGTCAACCATCTGACAGGTTCCATAAGTCTCGGGAAGCCACACATGCGCAAAAGGAGGCCCCGGGAAGCTGCGCATGCACAGAAGGAGGCCGTGGGAAGCCGTGCATGTGCAGAATGAGTTGGAGCCACCAAACAGCGGTCAGGCGGTGGCCCGCCGAACGGCTGACGGCCAGGCGAACCGGAGCGCATTTGAACGGGCGGACTGAAACAGCTGTTTCTTTTGATTACTGCTGGGCGCTGGTTAGGTGATAGGAGGGTGGGGTTGTAGGATAATTGATGGGTGGGGTTGCTAATTAATTGGGTGGAGGGTGGGGTAGTATTAGTTCAAATGTATTTAAGCAGCGCTGGGAGGCGGTTGCTCCCAGCGCGAACTTTGTATGGCAAAGAGGCTTGTTGCTGAAGGTCTCTGCTGAGTCAACATTTACCTTAAAGTAAACCGGTGCTGCCTGAGTCGAGTTGTCTTTGTGTCCTTCTTTCCTCAAGATCCCGGTAGGATTGTTGACAAGGGGATCTTGACAGTGGTATGCCAAGCTCTCCAGCTCCGCGGTGACGGAGAAATGTGATGGGCATGGAAAGCAGGCTAGCAAATGAATGCTTTGGGAAAGCGAGTGGAGCTGGGCAGTAGTGTGCCAAGATGCCCAGCTCCGCAGGGGCTGAGAAACATGGTGGAGAGTGGAAGGTTACTATGATTTGTGGCCAGTAATAGAAGCTAAGCATGTTTTTGGTAGAAAGTGGGTAACCCACTTTAACTGCTTCTTTTTAGCAACCCAACAGTTTGGTACTAAGCGCCCCATAGGCACCCAAACACTTTTCGCCCAGACAGAGAAATGATGGAGACTGAAAGCTTCGTTTGCTTGCAAATGGGGCAGTTTCCAAGCACCTCTTGCTTGTAAAGTGAAATCCTCTCTTCCTATTTTATTAAAGCCAAAATGGTTACAAGAGCAGCGAAGCTGGATCTGGCATTTTCGCATGCAAAGATGCAATTAACTTTCCCTTTTTCCCCGGCCATTCCCTTGTTATAAGCCAGTGATGGTGAACCTTTTAGAGACCGAGTGCCCAAACTGCAACCCAAAACCCACTTATTTATCGCCGGGTACCAGGTGGACGTGGCCCACTGGGTGGGCGTGGCTGTGGTGGTCATGGCAGATTGGGTGGGAGTGTAGGCCTTGCCCACCTGTCCCGGACCTACCAAAGTCTCTCTTACACTTTGAGGCATCCCTTACTTTATTTCCCACCTTTTTTGACCCCCACATGCTTTGGGACTAATTTCCACCACCCTGCCCCCCCCATTAATCCATTAGGTACTTACCCCTGCCAGGATGCAGCATATGTATCTAGAGATGTGGAGGGACAGAGGCCTGCCCTCCTTTCCCAAGGCATGTGGTGGTCTGGTGGGGAAAGAATGGGGGGCACTGCCGTGCTTGCAACTTTGAAACGGGGTTATAAGAAGTTTTTGGGGGGCTCCTTTGTAACTTCAAATGATTGCTAGGGCCACCTGTAATTGTTTTGAATTTTGGTGCATTTAGATCCTAATGCTGACCATTCAGTCATATATGCTATATAACATATGCATATTCCAAAGTTGCTCAAATCAGAAAATTAACACCCATTGTTGGCTTTTAATATTTCATAGTTGACAATACGTGAACATGATGATATAGCTTCAGTTTTGAAAATCTGAATTCTTTCTCATGATATGGTAGTTGAATTTCCTGTAAAGATATTCTGGGAATCGAAGAACATCTTGAACAAAGAATTTGTTTCCTGAAAATATTTTCCAAATATATGAATTGGAATTCCTCTCAAAATAATAGTCATTATGACAGCGCTCCACTTTAGTCCAACCTATTGATGAGAAACGAACTCCTTGGCTTGAGGAGATGCTCAACTTCTTCACATGTATTTCAACTTTTACGGCCCAGATGCTTTCTTATCTGTGCTAGGAAGCATTGTCGCTTCTTCAGGCTCTTGAATTAATGGCTTTTCTTCCTTTTCATGTCTATCCTGAGTCTTGGGGGCAAAATGATGCCCTTTTTCCATTGCAAACATACACTTTAAGATTGGTTTTCTCCTAATACCTTTTCGAATGCTTGCTCTGATTCTTTCTTAGCTCAAAGCTGATTCTGGGTGACAATATATAGGGATAATTCTAAATGAAAAGGATACTTTATATAATTTCACAGCTTTTGTGGCTCATGAATATAGAAATTATTTCCATACCATACCAAAGTAACCAAGGAAAAATTACAAGATACTGGAATTTGGAAGGACTTCCTACAGTTGGATCTATTAATAATAATAATAATAATAATAATAATAATAATAATAATAATAATAATAAAGTTGGAAGGGACCTTGGAGGTCATCGAGTCCAACCCCCTGCTCAGGCAGGAAAACCTACACCATTTCGGACAAATGGCTGTCCAGTCTCTTCTTAAAAACTTCCAGTGTTGGAGCATTTACTGCTTCTGGAGGCAAGCTGTTCCACTGATTAATTGTTCTCACTGTCAGGAAGTTTCTCCTTAGTTCTAGGTTGCGTCTCTCCTTGATTAGTTTCCACCCGTTGCTTCTTGTCCTGCCTTCAGGTGCTTTGGAAAATAGCTTGATTCCCTCTTCTTTATGGCAGCCCCTGAGATATTGGAATACTGCTTCCCTAACTTCGCTAGCATTTTCATTCTCTTTTCCTTTGAATGTAATTATGAGCAGGAGAATAAAGATTCCGAGGAGCCATTACAAGTGATCGATCCTGGAGACGCAAAGGAGAAGCCAGCGATTCAAATGGAACTAAAAAGCCATGCGAGAAACTAGTCAAATAATTGGAATCGGGAAAGCTCATCTTCCACTGATGCTCCAATGCAAGACTTTGTTGCCCAACAAGCAAAATTAAAGGAAAAAAATATTGGGAAAAGTGTAAAACTCTTCAAAAACAAATTAGATTTTAACAAACATTATTTCACCCAACCCAAGGGAGAAGATGCTATAAGCAGAGACAATGGAAAACTTTACAATTGGACTTCAACTCTTTCTTGTGGCATTGGGTTCCTTCTATTCCATAACATGAAACACAAAAGAGAGAGGCCATATAAATGTATAGAATGTGGAAAGAGCTTCACTCACAGTGGTTCACTTACTTCCCATACAACGATCCACACAGGGGAGACGCCAATTAAGTGTATGGAGTGTGGAAAGACCTTTAGTCGGTACCATCATCTTACTGCCCATCAAAGAATCCACACAGGGGAGAAGCCATTTAAATGCATGGAGTGTGGAAAGACCTTTGCTCGGGCTGATGGTCTTACTTCCCATAAAAGGATCCACACAGGGGAGAAGCCATTTAAATGCAGGAACTGTGGAAAGACCTTTGCTCGGAGCAACATTCTTACTTCCCATAAAAGAATCCACATGGGGGAGAAACCACATAAATGCATAGAATGTGGAAAGACCTTTCTTCATAACAGTAGTCTTGTTTCCCATAAGATGGTCCAAATAGGGGAGAAACCATATAAATGCATGGAGTGTGGGAAGAGCTTTTTTCAGGGGAGTCATCTTACTGCCCATAACAGGATCCACACTGGGGAGAAGCCATTTAAATGCATGGAGTGTGGAAAAAACTTTGCTCGGAGCACTCATCTTTATTCCCATAACAAGATCCACACAGGGCAGAAGCCATATAAATGCATGGAGTGTGGAAAGACCTTTCTTCACAGCAGCCATCTTTCTTCCCATAAAAGAATCCACACAGGGGAGAAGCCATTTAAATGCATGGAGTGTGGAAAGACCTTTGGTCAGAGCAGCCATCTTACTTCCCATAAAAGAATCCACACAGGGGAGAAGCCATTTAAATGCATGGAGTGTGGAAAGACCTTTGCTCAGGCCGGTAGTCTTACTTCCCATAAAAGGAGCCACACGGGAGAAACCATGTAAATGCAACAGTGTGGAAAGACCTTTGCTCACAGCAACATAAAAGGATCCACACGAGAGAAGCTATTTAAATGCATGGAATGGGGAAAGCTTTATTGGAGCAGTCACCTTAATTTCCATAGCAAGATCCACACAGTAGAGTAGCCACATAAATGCATGGAGTGTAGAAAGACCTTTAATCTAAGAGGTCAACTTACTTTCCATAAGATGTTCATGCATGGAGTGTGGAAAGACCTTTACTCAAAGATTTCCCATAAGATGACCCATACAGAGGAGAAACCACACAAATGTATGGCGAATGGAAACACCTTTCCTGACAGAAGTGAACTTACTTTGCACAAAAGGATCCACATGGGAGAAGCCATTTAAATGCATGGAGTGTGGAAAAACCTTTATTTGGAACGATTACCTTAGTCCCTATAGCAAGATCCACAAAGGGCAGCAGCCACATACTGTAAATGCATGGAGTGTAGAAACACCTTTAATTTCAGAGGCCAACTTACTTCCCATAAGATGTTCCATACGGGATAAACCACATAAATGCCTTGGAGTGTGGAAAGTGTTTCAGTGATAATGTTTCCCTTATTTCTCCCACCCTCGGGAGAATCATTACAACTGCACGGAATGCGGAAAGAACTCAGCGGTAGTGTTTCCCTTACCATAATAAGATCCAATTGGGAAAAACAATATGAATGCATCGAGTCCTGGAAGAGTTTTACATGAATGGAATCACACAGGAGTAGCCTTATCAATTCAGTGTGGGAGGAGCCTCAACAGGAATAGTAATCTAAAATCTAGTGCAAGGGTCTGCTTGGATAATAATCCTTATAAATATTAGACGTACTTCGATATGATCCAAAGAAGACTTTGGTAGGCCTGGGACAGGTGGGCAATGCCCAGGACAGGTGGGCAAGGCCTACACTCCCACCCAATCTGCCATGACCACCACAGCCACGCCCGGCAATAAATAAGTGGGTTTTGGGTTGCAGTTTGGGCACTCGGTCTCTAAAAGGTTCGCCATCACTGGCTTATAACAAGGGAATGGCCGGGGGAAAAGGGAAAGTTAATTGCATCTTTGCATGCGAAAATGCCAGATCCAGCTTCGCTGCTCTTGTAACCATTTTGGCTTTAATAAAATAGGAAGAGAGGTGTTGAGTCCTTGGCGAAAAGCAGACACGAGAAGCAGTTGGAGTTCTCAGTTTTCTTTATTCTGCGTTCAGCTTACAAGTAGATGGCTTCATGGCTTCCCAAACGCTCGCAGCCTCTTATATAGGCAACTCCCGGGTAATTGTGTTACTTTTCCCGCGCCAGCACCCGCGCATGTGCATGGCGCTGGCGACAGCCTGTCTGGTCCCGGGCAGCTTTGCACCTGCCCGGGACTGCCTGCAAACGCCCGAGCCGTTTGCAAGGCTCGGGACATAACACCCCTTTCCCCCGGGCTAAAACTATTACCAACATATAATCATTTACTCTATACAATGTTTCGTTCCCCAGTGCTCCCACTGTTTGCTGGCTTTTGCCTTGCCAGCAATGTTATATAATCCTCTAGGTACTTAGGAGATTTCTTTGCTCTCTGTGACCTTCTCAGCTCTGGGTTACTAGCATGAGTTTCCTGACTGGAGGGAGATGTGAGCCTGTTCTCCTTATTTTGTCTTGGTGCCTTCCAAGACTGTGCCCCGATGCCTGGCCTGCTTGCTCGCCCACCGGGCTCGTCAGGCCAGGGCTTCTGTCACTTTGTGACCTGGTTGACCTGCCTAGCTGTAGACCCTCGGGCCCCCTGAAGTGATAGCCACTGCTGGGCGTCTCTGTTGAACCTCCTAGGTCCGTCCAAGACATGTCAGGAGGCTGACCATTCCCTGAACCCCGTTCTGTTTCCGGGCTTGTGTGGGTTTCTGTACTTTCCCAAAACTCAGTTACTCCCTGATTTGGGCTAGAGGTGTTGTAGTCGGGACTTGGTTCCTCGACCACCTCCCTGTATGTTTGACCCCCTGTAGGAGTTGGGGTAAGGTCAGGCCAACTTTGGGGATTGTGTGCCAGCTCTCTTGCGGGAAATGATTTGTTGGGATGCCCCCGGGTATCCTCCGTGACTGGAGTGCTGTGTGATGTGTGTGGAAAGTGAGTATGCCCCCGGGGTGACTCCCTGGCTGGAGTAGGCGTGGATGCCTGGTAGTTGGGTAAGCTCATAGAATTCTTGTTCGGAGCTCTCGCGGAACCCTGGGATGGGCCGTTTGTGACTCCATCAGTGGAGATGGGCAGCAGCTCGTGCCCTTCCCTTTGCTCCAAAGGGTCCCCCTCCCCCCTGGAAAAGACCCAGGAGTCTCAGCTGAAAAATGCCGCCTAGGGCGGAGTTGGTCGATGTGCCTGCGCAGGACACGACCGGTTTCCAAGGCTACCTCGTAGGATAGAGGACCTGTGACCCTGGAAACAGAAGCGGGGACCCATGTATGACCAGGTCCGTAATTACGAGTCCAGACCAGGGCACCCTCAAGTAGTTGTCTAGGTGCCCTAGGGTGTGAGGCAGATGAAGGCAATCTGTCCGGATGCAACCGGTCAAGTTTAGTCGTAAGTTGACGCCCCCAACGAAGTTCAGCTGGACTTCTCCCTGTAGAAGTGGATGGTGTGGTGCGATAAGAAAGGAGAAAGTCAGCCAACCTGTGATGCCAGTCCCCGTAGGTGAGTCTTTTCAATGCGTCCTTTGTGATGCGCACCATACGTTCAGCCATACCGTTGGTGGACGGGTGGAAGGGTGCAGACGGGGCATGACGAATCATGTTTGCCTGTAAGAAAGCTTGGAATTCGGAGGAAGTGAATTGAGGGCCGTTGTCGGACACAATGACATCTGGCAGCCCGTGTGCAGAAAAAATCCCCCTCAGTACCTGAATAGTCTTTGCAGTGGTGGTGGATGAGACAGGTACAACCTCAAGCCATTTCGAATGGCTGTCAACAAGGACCAAGAAGAACTGGCCCTGAAAGGGCCCAGCGTAGTCAATGTGCACCCTAGACCATGGGGACTGTGTTTCCTCCCATCTATGCACGGGAGCTTGGGGCATCTCTGGGCGAGATTGTTGGCACAGGTGGCATGCATGCACCTTAGCCTCAATATCTTTATCTAAACCAGGCCACCACAAGTGGCTGCGTGCAAGAGCCTTCATACGAACAATGCCAGGATGACCCTCGTGGAGGGATTCTAAGACCCTAGTCCTCATTGAGGTGGGAATGACAACTCTGTTTCCCCAAAGCAGACAACCCTGAGAAAGGGAAAGCTCGTTCCTTTTGGACCAGAAACTCTGAAACTCAGGACTAGGGCAGTGCTCAGGCCAACCAGACAAAACCCAGGAACGGACACGTGAAAGGGTGTGATCTGTACCTGTTTCAGCGGCAACATCCCTGGCACTAAGAGGGAGCTCGGGCAAGGCTTGGATTGATAGAATGTTGACAGCTGGCGCAGGGTCAGCTTCTACTACTGGCAGAGGCAATCTACTGAGGCCATCAGGATGGCCCATTTCTTTTCCAGGCTTGTGGAGTAAAGAAAAATCATATGCAGACAAAAAATAGACCACCTAAGCATTCTAGGGGAAATGATTTGGGGAGTCTGCTTACGTGTGGTAAACAGTCCCAGCAGAGGCTTATGGTCAGTGAAGACCGTGAAGTGCCTGCCATATAGAAAGTCATGGAATTTTTTAATTCCAGCAACAACAGCCAGAGCCTCCCTGTCTATTTGAGCGTAGTTGCGCTCAGCAGAAGACAATGTTCTGGAGTAATATGCAACAGGAACCTGAGTTCCATCAGACCTGAGGTGGCTCAGGACAGCTCCAACCCCGTAAGGGGACGCATCACAAGCGATGCACACAGGAAGGGGCTCGTTGAAATGTGCAAGTACACTGTTAGAAGTGAGCAAAGCCTTGACTTTGTTAAAACAACCTTCATGCGTTTGTGACCACTGCCACACTGCTTGCTTGTCTAGTAGCCTGTGAAGAGGCTCAGCTACACTAGCTTTTTGTGGAAGAAAAGAATTGTAGAAATTCAGGAGTCCCAGGAAGGCCTGAAGTTCGGCCTTGGACTTTGGCCTAGGTGCTTCTAAAATAGCAGTTAGTTTGGATTCAGCAGGGTGAATCCCAGCAGCATCAATTTTGAACCCCAGAAATTCAGTAGAAGGCACCCCAATCTTGCATTTGTCTTTTTTGAGCTTGAGGCTTGATTTCCTGAATCTTAACAGAACAGCCCTTAGCCGTTCAGCTAGAATGTGTGTGGAGTCTCCTGCAATCAAAACATCATCAAAGTAGGGGCAAACCCCTGGTATACCTCGTAGTGTGTTTTCCATTACGCTTTGGAAGATCCCAGGAGCGACATTCACTCCAAACTGTAGCCTTTTTACTTTAAAGGCCCCTCTGTGGGTCACAATAGTCTGAGCTATAGCAGCATCATCATCAACAGGCAGCGGTTGATATGCTTGAGCTAGGTCAAGCTTTGCAAAAACACGCACCCCCTTGAGGGAGGCCAGAATGTGACTGACCACAGGAACAGGATAGGCATGTTGCTGCAATGCCTTATTAAGAGTGCATTTGTAATCAGCACAAATGCGAATGTCCCCATTTGCCTTTAGAGGCGTGACAATGGGGGTCTCCCAAGGACGGGAATCAACAGGTTCTAGAATTCCCTGTTGGATCAGTTTGTCTAACTCAGTGTCAATTTTACTCTTTAAAGCAAAAGGGACCCTTCTTGCTTTAATTCTAATGGGTGTGACAGTGGGGTCTAGTTTTAAGGACACAGGAGGTCCCTTGAATGTGCCCAGCTGGGGGCTGAAAACATCTGCAAATTCTTTGCAGACTTCCTGTAGGTCGAGTGTTTGTAAGCTGTTGAGTCCTGGGACGTGTATCCCCAGGGCCTCAAACCAATCGAGTCCTATGAGACTCGTTCGTTCACCCCCTACTACTAATAAGTCTAGTGGATCTTCAAAATTCTTGTATTGCAAGTTAAGGGTGGCCTCCCCCTTAACACACACTCTTGAATTTTGAAAATCTGTTAACACAATGTCAGAAGGCCTTAACTTGGCCTGAGTTCCACTACAGGAACAAATCTTCCTAAATGTATGCAAGGAGATGATTGAAAGGGCAGACCCTGTGTCTAGTTCCATAGTTAATGGAACCCCTTGTAGCTTCACCTTAAGTGACAGCTTTTTCTTAATGGCTTGTGTGTGCCTGTCCTGAAGATGCTTCTTCGCGAAGCGCAAAAACCTACCCTATTCTGGCTGGGGACCCCGGTACCTTTCAGGCGCAGTTCTTCCTGAGGTTGTACCTTTTGTCGGCCCAGACACACAGCTGCAATGTGTCCTTGTTTGCCGCATGCCCGGCAGGTAGCGGAGCGGAACTTGCAGTCGGTTCTCCTGTGGCGACCTCCACAGCCGATGTACTTGAGCGGAGCTGAAGAGCTTCCCTTCTGTTTTTCTTCCTTCGT